ATAACACTACCAAATTTTTGAAAGCAATATTCGTTATTGAATTGAAGTATATGGAATATCAGCAGCATGGTCAAAGGTAAAATCGTCTACTTTATCACGATCTTGGAGAAAGATCATACCGCTTGATGAACAATCCTCTTCAGATATTCAAGAAGAGTATGATAATAGTATTCTTGAACAAGCAAAAGAAATCGAAGGTTTCGAAATTTTTGATGAAGAAAATTTAGAAGATTAGTTTCAAAGTGATGCATGGAGCCTGGCTTCCAGTATTTGACTGATGAAGACATCGTTATGTTGTTAAATCAAATAATGACGATAGTAACTGATGCAGAAGATGTAGTAAATGAGGAAAATACAATTTCTCATTCTGATGCTCTGTGGAAACTTTATTAGTTTATATGGGAGTATCTGATTAAGGTGACGTTAATGCGATTCGTAAAATATGTGACAATATATGGCGCATTATACATTTTTTTAGAAGAAAAATTCCTAGTTTGATTTTATACAGCATGCAAATGTCAGTAATTTTTATATTTTTTGTATTGATATTGATTTTTTCTTTAATAAAAGGAGTTTTCGGATTATCCGTGTTTTTCGATTGTCCGTGCGACCTGTCCCGGTGATTAACCCGGATAATCGGGAGTGCACTATATATATAAAAAGTGTGACGGACGTCATAGGTCATATGTGTGGGTACATTTAATCTTGAAGTACAAGTACCCAAATGCTTTCTAGACTGTGTCTTATAAAGTGAGGTATAGTAACTTCTTATGGGAAATTACAGCACTCTAACTTATTTCCTTTAACCTTCACCAACGCGCTTTTTTTTTAAAAGAATTCATAATATTAATATGAAGTACTTTTATGTTCTTGATGATTATATCATTTTAATACGATCAAATTATCTTATTACGATTTGATTATTTTATTACGATTAAATTATTTTATTACTATTAATATTTTATTTTATTAATATTACTATTCTTATCTATAAAATCTTTATTTGTCTGCTGCCTACTCTTTCAACAAGATAATGAACAATATTGATGCGAATCACTGTGGCGGAACATTGCACATATCGTAGTATAAACTATGTCTTAAGGTTAGATTAGCCACGAGTATGGATTATCTTCAGCGCCAATAATGAGAAATAATTGCTAATACAGAGGTGTAAGTTCAGAATACCATGACGGAAATACGGGAATCAAAAAGGTGTTAAACGTAACAAATCAACTAAATATGCATCTGTCCAGGTTAAGAAGGTCGAGTCGCGTGCCTGAAAAAAAAATGGCGTAAGTATTTTTTTACCAAAGGAGGATGATACGAAACCGAAAGAAACCATTTGAACAATGCGTAAAATGTGATCGCGATAATGCGATCAAATTTTATAATCATACTTTTGCTTAATACTAAAGTTGATTTGTGGAAATTAGAAAAATTAGAATGTTTTTTTTTCAATCCCTGGTCGGGAAATTTCCTTCTTGAACAAAATAATTGGTTTTATTGATTTTGTTACCTAAAGCCTTTGGACCATTCTGCTGATTTTTTCTCAAACGAGTGGCTCACACTGCATTTTGATCTCGCTGACCAGTGGGCTATGCACATGTGTGTATGTATATATGTTACCGGCAAAGTTTAAAATCCGGCATTCTATAGAACGCCTAGGAATTGTATATGATGGCTAAAACTGGCCGGGAATGTATGAAACGATTTATGTTTCACACATTTCCTTGGTATTCTATAGAATGCCAAATGAGAAACCGGCAAAGTATAAAATACATCTCCGATTCGTTTCGAATATCAAGCATTGGCAAGAAAAATAGCATTTGTCTTTCTATAGATTACCTAGGAATTATATACAATGCCTAGGCATTCTACAGAATGCCGTCGTTTCATACTTTGTCGGTAACATGTGTTACCGGCAATGCACATCGTTTACGTAATAACCTCCCCAGGACGTTTTTTTTTTCATACTTTGCCTAAATAGCATTTGTCATTCTATAGAATGCCTAGGTATTATGTACAATGCCTAGGGAAAGTATGGAATAGTTCTCATATTTCATACCTTGCCTAAAAGTATCTGACATTATATACAATGCCGGCGTTTCATACTTTGCCGGTGACATGCATATAAATAATAACCAAATGAAACATAACTGATCATATAAGCATAAGAAAATTGGGAGTTTTAATTTTAACTAATAACGTATATAATATTTGTACTAAAAATGACGATAAGTGCTCTTTCCTCACTGGTTGGTTCCGAAATAAAAATTTGTGCGCAGTCCAATGCTACAACATGTTGGTATGAGGAGCTAATTGTGTACAAGTGAAACGAAATTCTGAAAATACCAATCTAAAGTGAAAATTGAGTAATTCCTTTCCAAAATTTGTAAAGCTTTGGGGAGATGAACCCCTCCCTTCTTTAATTAACCTTTTTCTGACTACATCTTGTTCTTGGTACTTTTTGGAGATATTAACGTCTATAAATAAAATATACGTATTTTTTCATAAGGATCTCTGGTTTAGGTTTTGTGTTATTAAATACTATATCATTGCTACTCGAATAGAGTTTTTCTGCTGCTACGATCAAAGTATGTCATTTAAAGTAATTATACAAAATCTAAAGAATGTGAAAGTCCATAGTTTTTTTTTTTTAATAAAAAGTTCTTACTTGATGATAAGTCGAACTATGCGCAGACCCCATCTGTCTAGCAAGAATCCCCACATAAATGACGTGGATCCCATGCAGAAACTGCCGATAGTGTACGCCAGATTCAGAATACTATCTTGTCTATCACATGTCCCATAATTACGTGTCTGGAAAAAGAAATTTTTTTTATATTTAATTTATGCAATCATTTAAAATTAAATTATTCACATTTGAAAAGATGTAAAATGTAAAGTAAAATTTAATACAGAATTTCGACGGATTTTCTGGTCGACTTTCCATAGTGAGACTTGATTATTTTTCTTTTCAAAATTATCTTAAGTAATATTAAAAATCGTACAGTTTTTCAGTCTCCGTTCGGAGCACTGCAAATTATTCGTAGAATAGACACTCTGTTATTCTGTTCTTGAAATAAGCTGATAAAGGGAATGATAAGTTTAGGATACCCCTGAAATGTTTTATGCAAATTATACACTACTGAATAAAATGACACTAATACCGAAACAACGAAAGGAGAAGTAATACTGAGCCTTAAAAGTGCTTTACAGAACGAAGGCATTGGATTTACACACATTTGTCCCTATATAAACAGTTTTATTTTCACTAATTTTAAAAACATACTCGGCAATAAATTTTAAGAAAAATCAATCAAACATAGTTACAAATTTAACAAAAAATAGCAGTTGGTGCTTCTTTCACTGGAAGCAACATGTGTACTGTTATTTATTTATTTAAAAAAAAACTTGATTTTAAATAATTAAAAATAAATTCTCGCTGATGATAGTAGTTGCAAGTGGCGGATATGGAAGGAATTTTAACAAGAAAATAAGAAGGATAAGAAATAGAAGAATCAAGAACATGGACATTTTTTCATCAATAACAAAATTCTTATATTAAACCAAAGTTAAGCTTCATGATTGATTGAATGTGGGGTTTAATGGTATAAAGTCCAAAGGAGGACATGCTGCGCCAAACGAACGATTAAAGTTAAGCTTCAAATAAAGAGTATGTTTGCAAACCTCGGATAGGGTACAAATTAGCCGCTAGATCTGTTCCTAGAGTAAAATATACTCCATTTAAGTTTCATTTCATTTACGTTTAAACTAACAAAAGCTTTCCAGCTAATGTGCAATTCTGGTGTCATTGTTAGACTGTCCGCCTTCTACCAGAGAGGTTCAGAACTTCAATCACAGCTGGGTTGTTGAATTTTATAACTAACTTAGTTTTTTTATTAAAGAATTCATTATTAATATAACTATTTAATGCTTTGTTAAATTTATAAATTATTATCAAATTAAACCGATCAGGCCGAAAATCAGCCATCTCCACTTTTATTTCAAAATTTAGATTCTTGCATTAAGATTAGCTGACGGAGATATATATATATATATAGGATGTAAAAAAATGCATGTTCTACTACTTGGTATAGTATATTTCATGCAGTAAAATCTCACTTTAGTTCGAAAACATGCCATATCCTGGAGATGACCTCATGGAGATGGAATAAACTTTGAAATATACCGCTAGATGGCTACCGTTGTAGCTAATGAAATTGTTCCCTGAACCAAACAATTAATTATTTAGTTTAGGCTTATTTTGTTGATGCTTTTTATAACGTAATGAATGAATTAGGAGGTAGTGTTTTCGATGGTATCTAATTGAATTAAATTCTGATTAATAATTAAATTTTTTACGTTTGCATAACGTTTTAGAAAGAAAAAAAATTCACCAATTTTGACTTATCTTCACTTCGTTTATTATGTTACATTAGAACAACTCTAAACTCCCCACGTGAAGATGGTTGCACATCGAGTTTCACTAACACTCTATACTCCGCTTTGAGGAGAACTCCTCCAGGCTGAAAGTCTGGGGCTGTCTGCTGCTATGGTAACAAGCGAGAATACATTTCTAATGGGGTTGAAATGGAGGAAAGAAGGTGTCAATTGGTTATTCACGACGACCTAAGCTAAGATTAAGACAAAACTATTCACCCCACACCCCTATTCGAAGTGACCTTTCCTCGTAATCATAGTACCCGCCACGACGCGAGACGGGTGTTTGTAGGAGTTCTCGTGAAAGCCGCACTATACCTAACCAACCATTCATCCAGTTATTTATGTGGTTTTTACATTATATTTACAATTTATGCACAGATATTTTTCATGGAATAAGATTCTTTGGCTTACTGCATTGATCAAGTTCCTATTTTTATATTTAATGTACATTTAAAGTCTGTCTTTTTCTTCTTTTTTTGAGAAATGAAGATTAACTGATCTTAGTGTTGCTCGGGTATAACTTCTCGGATATAACTATCTCTAACTTCATGTAGATTCATTTTTATTCGAAGCCCTTGTCACATCTTCCTGCATCCTGGGAGTGACAGGGAAAATTTGGTTTTTCTTTAATTCGCATTGTGCTAAAATTGATGAGTGAGAATTGATGAATTGAATTCTCCCCAATGATGCGAGACTTCATTTAAGTCTCGCATCATTGGGAAGACCACTCAAGAACTGCAATTAACGATTTCAGAGAAATTCGAAGCTTGTAAGCTTATCTTTCGTAGTACGAAATTCGGTCTTTGCTCAACAAATTCCTGTCAACCAATAATATCTGCAGAACATTTTGAAGGCAATCTTCTCGAGGCACTGCATCCATCTTAACGCGATGAGTTCTAGGTTGTTCTTATCTAGCCTGATGAGCGAAGAAATACATGGTGAAAATTAAGAAAATGTTTTTTTCTTCTAAAATGATGTGTGAACGTAAGAAATAAAATTACTGGTCAGAACTTAATTTATTGAATTTAATTTAGGTTAGGTTATTCAAACTAACACAGAAGCATAAGAAATTAAAACGTGTTTATTTCTAAAGTTTTAGCAAACTTAAAAAAAAGTTGAAAAAGACGAAATTTTAAAAAATTTTCCTTAATTTTAAATAAGATGCACGAACGGAAGATATTAAACAATTCTAAAATTTTTATGCCTTTTTTATTCTTATTTCAATAGGAAACTTTGTCACATTAAAGTAGTCAGAAATTAAAAAATTCATTTATTCGACCCACTTCATTAGTAAGGGATTAGAGCATTAGTAAGGGTAAAAGCAACTATTTTATATTACTGTTCAAATGCAAAAGAAGGAAAAAAAAGTTAAAAAGCAGTTTTCTTGTACCACGTTTCAAGAGTTTACTCAAAATTTTAAAAAAAAATTTGTCGTGGTGAATTATGTAACTCCAAATTTTTCTAATCATTTTAATAAATTTTATTAATTTTTTTATAATAATCTTTACTAATTCTTTTATTTATTTTTTTAAACTGGTGTTGACTATAAAATCGCACCCTTCTGTTTCTATCAAAGACTAATAAGAATGTATAAGAGCTGTTCTCAGTATTTACATTTAAGTGCCATGCAATATATTTAGCCCACCAATAAATTTCCTCACAGAACTTGACAAAATGGTTTAACTATATTCAGATTCAAAAAGTTATATTGAAACCTTACAGATCAGAGATTTAAATTTTTCACTTTATTTAAAGTTATAGATCTGTATGAAATTTATTCGGAGAGAAAAAATTACTGATATATTCTAGACCAGGCTGTTATTCTGAGTTGAAAATCACACTGATATAGTGGTAAAACCTATCCGCAATATAATCCTATGAATACCGCCTTAATAAATAATAAAATATAACTATAATCCTCCATAATTTTCTCTCTATAATCGGCTATAATCCTCACTGTAATCTGCTATAATCCTCTTCATAATAATAGGACACAATAGCTACTGACTAAAATCTTTATTCAATCTGGCAAAATAATTGGGATAATGAAATAAATAAATTGTGCAACATTAAGCCTTTTAAATAACTAAACATCTGTCATGATAGCTTAAAGAGCTTCTAAATTGTTTGTCCACTGGTCCCATGTGCACAACAAACATTTTTTGTTAAACAAGCCTTTCCCTGAATGCTTCAATTATAAGAAACTGCAAATTATATTTTATCTAACAGCAGCAAATTTAAGATCCTGAGATAACGTCATTTCGGTTAGTTTGAATTCGCCTTCGCTTTTACTAATTGGAAATAAACCTCACTATAATTTATACCTATTCAAGGATACAGAGGCTAGATTGGCGTGAAAAGACCTAGCTTGTAACCTAATATTTTGTAAGCCAAGTTATATGAGTGGTATGGCTCCTTAATAAAAATGGCTCTTTAGCCAATTACTTCTAATAACTTACTAACTGTCATTTGGCAGTTTACAGATCCATGTTTTCGGCGTGGTAAGTAATTGCATATTCAATTCGCATACTCTTAACGCTAGATTGCCCAAGAAAGTCATTTTGGCTGCTTTTAATTTCAATTAGAAAAACAATGATGTATATAATCACACAACTTCTTAGAATTTTGTGACTTTTTGTACATCATATAATTTTTTTATTGTTAATATTTACTAATAACTTGTTATTTAACTGCAAATAATAAAAAAAAATATTAAAAATTAATTTTAAACTAATTTTTTTACACATTAGTTATTCTTTCACAATTCAGTCAAAATGACTGGATTTTGGCAATATTGGTATATACTAAGTTTCAGTCTTTTTATTGTTAAAGAAACTTTTTTCATGCAATGATCACAAATGCTCTTAAAAAAACTAACATTCCTTAATAATTTCAAAATAAACTTTCAAGATCATAGACTATCAGTACATCAACTAACTATTTGAATCTTTTTTTTCCTGTCAGATTATTAACAAAAAATTGACCCTGAAGACTTGAAAAATAGTGTATTTCCTGTAATAGTTGCTCTTTAGTAAATTACATATTTCAAACAACAATAAAAACCTGATTAAGTTTCAATTATTCTTTTACTCCGGAAAAAAATTAATTGATTCTGAAGAAGTACCGCATCGTCAGCCAACCGCTTGTAACCTTCAATAGATTGTTTGGTCTGAGTTTTGTAGAAAATTTCGGGTATCGAAAAAATTCTTTTAAATTCAGCTTTTTTCGCTAATTTTTAGACTTCTTTCACCTTGGCCTAGTTTGCATGTGTCCGAACAATAAAAACATAGTTTTTCATGAGAATCCGACATCTGCATGATCAATGAAGATTCTTTATTTCGACAAACATTATAGAAACAAATCATTTTATTATT